TGCTGAGTCAAACCTCCCATCATTGCAACACATGACCGGTCCCTGTCCGCCTGCGCGTATATGTTTCTGCTCACAAAAAGCCTCACAGGACCTCTGGGAGGCCACCTGATGTTATTGTAGCCATTTGGATCATTTCTAAGCTGCCACGCTGCTCTGAACAGTAACCCAGCAGCTGCTCAGAAACAATAACCTGACCCAGAAGTGACTTTTTTCCTGAGACTCACCCACATAGACTCTTTTTATGCAGTGATGATCCATTAGATGTGGGATTAAATGGCCTTTTAACATTTCAAAGTGCCTTTATTGTGTTTCTGTTTAAAGCTGTAGATGACAGTAGGGTCAGCTGAGGCTGCTGGGACGGAAACACCTTGGTTTTTACAGCATGAGCTGGAACTTCGGGGCCAGCGAGGGCACGTTTTGGTCCCTTGCCACGCTCGGCGGTCGGGGTGTGGTCTCCTCTTCCCGAAAAGTCCTGTCAAACACGGTCCCTATCTGTCTTGTTTAAACTCCATTTTGGTTTCCTGTCTGTTAGTCACTTTTGCTTTTTATTCAACTTTTCTGTGATATTTGGTTTTTTTTTTTCCAACGTAAGACTTTCTCTGACATGCATATTGTCCCATTTCTCTCTTACGTTCTGACAGTCTCATGATGGGTTTGAGCTTTTGCTGTGAAACGTGTGGGTGGGGAAAAGAAGTCCTCTCGGAGGACAAAAATGATAACCTATCATTTTTTTAGTCTAGCTTCTCACCCTGTTGAGATAGATTTGTTTTCAGCAGAGTCACAGTCTCTAGGAACGTGTCAAGGTCTCTGAGGGGCCGTGCAGCAGGCATGACCCTAAATCCTCTTCAAGTTTTTTTTCTAGTTCTTTAACTGACAGCCTCACACACACACACACACACACACACACACACACACACACACACACACACTCAAACATTCAGTTAGTCATCTTCCTCAGCCGCCATCCTCATCAGATATCTACACCTATAATAATAAGTACACAGGAACAGGTAAATGTGTTGGAACTACTTATACTTACAAAGTAAACTGCACTTAAAGTTACTTTAGCTAAGATAAAGCAGTATAACGTACATAGAAATGTACTTTCTATTTACTGCAGCTTAAAGGGATGTTCTTCCCAAAAGTGGCATTCTGTGTGCTGATGATGTATTTCCCAGATTTAGATAAATAAGGAAAAAAATATTGTAACCAGCCTAGTCATTCTCCTGACCCGATGTTCTGACTATCCGTGCTTCCTTGTCGAATAATCCTACCGCAGCGTTCTATGACAGTTTCGCTCTTGTTTATGATAACCTGTCATCATCATCATCATCATAGCAGAGGTGTGGACTCGAGTCACATGACTTGGACTCGAGTCAGACTTGAGTCTTTATTTTAATGACTTCTGACTTGACTCGGACTTGAACGCCAATGACTTGCGACTTGAATCGACTTGCGTCTGTTGACTTGATGATGACTTGAGTGTATTTGATATTTTAGCACAAAAGTGGCACGACATGGACAAAAATCATGAATCATTCTTCGTTCTGGATTTGATTTACTGCTAAATGCAGCAGCTCTTTGTTTATAACCAGTTTCCCTTTCTGCTTGTTTGAGCAAATAAATTAAGCTTTAAATGGTAAATGGCCTGTATTTGATATAGCGCCTTCTAGAGTCCTAGAACCCCCCAAGGTGCTTTCCAACACAATCAGTCATTCACCCATTCACACACACATTCACACACTGGTGAGGATGAGCTACAATGTAGCCACAGCTGCCCTGGGGCGCACTGACAGAGGCGAGGCTGCCGAGCACTGGCGCCACCGGTCCCTCCGACCACCACCAGCAGGCAACGTGGGTTAAGTGTCTTGCCCAAGGACACAACGACAGCGACAGACTGAGCGGGACTCGAACCAGCAACCTTCCGATTACGGGGCGAGCACTTAACTCCTGTGCCACCGTCGCCCCGTCCACCGTCTTTAAGAAGATTTATTTATGGAATTTACTTATTATCATTGTCATTAAATTGAAGTTGGACAGATGACTTGATTATGACTTGAAATTCAAAGTTAAGGACTTGAACTTGCCTTGGAATTCCACATCATTGACTTTGATTTGACTTGGACTTGGTTGTCTTTGACTTGGACTTGACTCGAGACTTGACTGGAAAGACTTGTGACTTGCAAAGCAGTAAATTGGTCACACCTCTGCAGTATAGCAGCATGCTTATTAAGCATGGTTCATTTTAAATAGGTGATATTACTCAAAAACACGGAACTGTAGTATGATTATTAGAAAAACATACAGAACAAAACATAATATAAACATTTTGGATGTGTGTGTTAGCTCTTTATCCTGTTGCAGGAGGAAGGTGGACGCAATGAGGTGTTGTCCACAGAGAAACTAATTCTTCCTTCCTTTTTCTCCAAAGGCCCTCAGATCATCCTACTGTACAACGTAATTCTAAAAATAGCTTTGATTAATCATCAAACTTATAAAATGATTAATGTGCTTTAGCAACTAGATGCAAAAATGTGTTTCTTTCTTTTCTACAAATTAAATTTTTCCTTTGGAAAATAAATATACTTAACCCCAAATTTTTCAGAAATGGTTTAAATGTTTTATTACAATATGCAGCACTACTTGTTTCATTTGCAAAAGTAATATACTTGTTTCTAAGTTATAAAGCCGTCAGCCAACTAAAACCTGTAATGTTATGCAAAACTCGGCTTTTGCATCCTTTTGTGCCGTCATGTGGGTCTCCGCTGCCTCGTTCCAAATGTGGATAAAGACATCCCTCGGTTTTCTGTCAGGTTTTAGTCATTATGCGCCTAAAGCAAGTGGGAACCAATGGGAAAAGTAAAATAGGACCACCTCTCATGAGCAAGAAAGAGCTGCTGCTTTTGAGCTTAAAGCAGCCTGAGTAGGTGGATGTGTGGGCGTGGCTCCCACAGCCTGTTTTCTAAACACTAGAACTCCCAGGAACCCTCCGTTTGACGGTTGTCATTTTGGCCCATAAATGCAGGCTGACGACGACATTGTGGAGCAAAATGGATCTAATGCGTTATTAATTAACTCTTCATGGAGGTGTGAACTTAATAAAATAGTAAGAAAGTATTATTTTAATCCAAACCTTGAGAAGAAGTCTCTCTATTGTTCACTGGGTGACCGACACGGATCTTCGCCGTGGGGGGGGGGGGGGGGGGGGGGGGGGTGTCCCAGATCGTCTTCCACATTGCTGTCAGTCTCTGCTGCTTCCTACTGACTAGTTTCCCCCTCTCTGCCTGAAGCAGCTTCATTTCTCATGATTGTTTCACTGAGAATGTTCTTCTAAAAGCTGTTTCAGCCTCTGTTTCACACGCAGTATGAACGGAGAGGGAGCGTGCGCGAGCAAAAAAGTTGGTTACTTAGCAACGGCGACGCTGTCCGTTATCCGCGGGAAAACGTTACCATGTAAACAATAGAGCCGTCAAATTGACGGCTTGTGGGTGACAAAGACAAAAAACGCTATATTTAATTTTTGATACATTATTTTATGGAAATTATAAAGCAAAACTAAAGGACACATAAAAATAGCAAAAGCCAGGAAGCCAGGACAACATGAGATCCATCTAACTAAAGTTATTACATATCAAAGTATGAAAACAGTCAAAATGACTGCCTTGGGAGTTCTAGTGTTAAAGTGACAGAGCCCTAAAACGGCTCATTCTGGAAGGTATTGAAAATGTCAGGAATGACTAAAATCGTTTTGTGTGGGTGGGATTTTGTGCAAAGAACATAATGAACATGTTTTTAAAAAAACATTGATCTAATATATCTTTAAACGAGTCGCATGTCCTCATTAAAAGACAAATTTACTAGATTTTGCGTTAGTTTTAAATCAGTATAAAAGAGCTTGAAATAATAATTCAACATTTATTTCCTGATTAAATTGTGCTTTCTATAAATCATTATCAGATTAAATTGAAATTCAGAGGTGGCTCTGAGGCTTTCTCACAAAGAGAGAAAACCTTTGAAGTTCAAGTACGACCACAACCAAAGTTAACTAATTACAATTATGGATTCTGCTCAGTGCCTCGTCTTTTCTGTATCTGTCAGTTTGTTTGCAGCAAACAAAATCCATTCAGATTAGGAGACAAATGGGAGAAAAAAGCTGTAGTATTTGTGGCCTTTAGATATTTTCTGTCTATGCACCAGATTACATCAACTTAAACCTGCTATTTAAAAATACTAGACTGGGAGGGAGCTAATGCATTGTACGCTTCCAATATAAGGGATTAAAAACGAATGTCCAAAAATATTTACACTTTTGTTCAGCCTGGGACAAATACTTCTGCAGAAAAGAGCAAATCAGTTTTTTTTTTAGTGGAGAATCAAAGAAACACTGAGAGTTTACTAAAAACTTTATGTGGCTGCAAGTGGGAACAGATCCGCTGTTGGTGTAATTGCCAAATTAGAAGATTTTCAAGTAAGTTGTGTTTCATCCTGTCTGCTCAAGCAACAGCTTGCACAGATTCAGTGGGTGGGTGTGTGTGGGGTGGGGGTGGGGGACATTGCGAGGCAAGATGGAGCTGCAGCCTAACAGGCAGAGTTGCCAACTCTTTTTGCATTTGTTCAGAAGTTATGAGATCGTTTGATGCCCCGTAATGATGCCTTTGGTGAAGCTATGCTTTGTTTACACACAGCAGGGACTTGGTGAAAAATACGCAAAGGCAGCCTTTTACAGCTCGTAAAAGAAATATAACTGCCAACATCGATTACTTCAGTTACATACGCAGATTTGATTTTTTAGAATCAAATGCATTTGGAGAAATATTACATGATGCATAGTTTGTGTCATAAACTTACAATTGGATAAAAAGAGGCCCGTCTTCTCCCAACAGGTTAAGCAGAATGCCAAGCCCAAAAGGGCTTTGTTCTGACCCGTTTGAAGAGGAAACCCTTTGTAAAGCCACAAAGGTGCTTCACAGACATACCTGAACCTCAAGAACAGGAATCCATTTAGAAAATAAATTCCCATTTAATTAATTTTTCTGAAACACCTCAAAGGCATTGAACAAAGGAATGTAAACGTCTTTATAGATTAAATCTGGATCCATCTGCAGGTACGGGCATTACATCTCCAGATGCACACGATGCAAACACATATCAGCTTGACTCAAAGCACGTGGGAAATCCCAAAGAGCCTCTGGATTAGATTTGTCAGGATTAAACTGGAAATGATGCGTCAACATAAGTGACACAGTTTCTTATCCACATTTTAGTGAAGATGGTTCAGTTTCATCCATCCAGCTGTGAAACACATGTCCTCACTACTCGGTCTCTACAGGGTTGAGTCTTTGTGTCCTACAACTTCAAGCCCTTTTTTCTGAGGTCTTCTTTAGCTTCCGTGATCTGCTCCTGGAGCTCTCGAGCTGCCTCGTCGCAGTCGTTGAAGGTGGCCACCCGGAATCCCACCGTGGCCAGGGAGTAGCAGCCGAACGTCACCAGCAGGTAGAGAGGCATCGGCCAGGCGATCTCCCGGTACACCCGCGGGAGGCTCAGCTCCAACAGGTCAAACGTAACCAAAGCCCAAACTGTCCCCAGCAGAGACGCCCCGAGCAACCACTGCATCAGTTTCGTCATGACGGAAGCTCTATGAAACGACCTGAGAGATAAAACTGTGTTAGCAACCTGTTAGCTTATCGAGCTAAAATACGCAGAAATAAACAAACGACAAGAAACGAAAATAAACCAAACACTCGTTGAAAAGACGCGAACGCAACTAAATAAAAGGGTAGTATATAAAGCATCTATTTAAATCACGTTAAAGACCAAATAAACATGAATGTTTACCTTCTTTCAAACACCACCTCAGCACTGCGCAGATTAATGACGTTGCAGTCCGCGATGCCTTGTGGGAAACGTAGTAGCAGGACTGGTGAAACGTTAAAGCAACTCAAAAGATGCTAAAAGCCGATTTATTTGACTCAAACAAACTTTGAATTATATTTATTGTATAACCTAAAAATAAAATAAGCAATTTTTTATAAGTTTTAAAGAAAATCTTTTATTCACTTGTTCATTTTATTTAGCCTAATCATTAATTTCCAATGCATTTATTTATATTAATCGTTTTATTAAACAGTGTTATTTTCCCTAAATGTATATGAATGATCTTGTTTTTATTTTTGAACTTTCAAAAGACACAAATTATTTTTTATTTTTCAATTAAAATAAGATAATTGAACTCTTTCACATTTGCAAAATTAGAATTTGCATTTTATGAAACTATTTTAAAAGTGTTATACATGGTTTCGTTCCATATTTGTTTTTGCAGTTAAAGGGACTACAGATGGATAATGGATTGAGCTAGATGGACCTGACAGTGTTATAACTTCTTCTCAAGATTAATGTAGGCCCCACACATTCCCTGCTTGATTAATTTGATTAGAAATACAGTTTTTCATGTTTCTGTATGGTAGCTTTAAACGACTTTCAGTTGCACCATAGAAATTAAGTGATTTATGTTAATTGCACTTATTTATTCAGTTACTCAGTTTATGATGAACACATAAATAAACTCTCTTTGACTAGCTAATGACCCCCAGAGAGGAGTGATATGACAGCAGCCAGACTGATAATTATTTAAACTTCCCTATTGATCTTGCTGCTGTGTGCAGTTTTCACTAGCGTGATGAATTAAGACCAGTATTCAGTCAGCTGTGAGAAAGAGCACTGTTTGTAATTGGACTGAGTCTTTAATGAGCTTTCCCAGACAAGCTTTTAACACATATTAGACCTCTGACGCTTTTTCAGTATCCCTTTCATGATTTAGGAAAGCCATTTTCAAAATCAGATACCATTAGCAATCGCTAAAAGCTATTTATGTATTTTCCAAAGAGAGGAATTGAAAAACAGTTTAATTTAGGCACAAACGGGGGGCTCTTTGATCTTTGATCTCAGTCTCTGTGTTAGTTCTACATCACATGCCTTTTCATTTACGGCGGTGAACTGACCAGGTGCAGAGGGCACAGATTTCTCCAGGGTGGAATCAGGAGCAGGAGGAGATGTAAACAACACTGACCAAGCTGGTGAAAGGGGCACGCTAAGTAGCCACTCAGGAATAAACATCATTCTTCTGAGGGAAAATGGGAGTTATTCTTAGGATGGTGGTGTTTATGTTTGTCAGCATTAGTGTTAATAGTGTGAATGACAATCTGCACGGCTGCCAGTGGGGGTAGAGTGTGTTTCTTCTGTTGGAGACAGTGGAAACCAGTCTGCGAAAGCTCCTTAAACAGAACTCAACAATGACTTTTTAAGGAGCATTCATGAGAATGTTTGATCTTTTATTAAAATATTTTAAAGAAAATAGAATCCTGATTTGCAGTGAGTTATTGCACAGCAGTTGGTTGCAGCTTCAGCGCTGGATTGTGGTTGTTCTGTGTAGAGTTTACTTAAGTTTTCTCCTGGTGCTCCAGTTTCCTCCCATGGTCCAAAATACAGTTTCCCTCCACAAATAGGATCAAGCAGGTAGAAATGGAAGGATGGATGAATGGTTGGTCAACAGATATCAGATGTTTGGATGGATGGATGGATGGATGACTGGATGGATGATCAACAGTTGACAGATCTATGGATGAATGGATGACAAATCTACGAATGGATGAAACAATAGATAACAGGTCTATGGATGGATTGGTGGATGGATGGGTGGATGGGTAGATGGATGGATGGTTGGATGGATGGGTGGGTGGGTAGATGGGTAGATGGGAAGATGGGTGAATGGATGGATGGATGGATGGATGGATGGATGGATGGACTGATGGGTGGGTGGAGGTGGATGGATGGATGGATGAACGGATGGATGGGTGGGTAGATGGGTGGGTAGATCGATGAATAGATGGATGGATGGGTGGGTAGATGAATGGATGAATGTATGGATGGGTAGATGGATGGATGAATGTATGGATGGGTGGGTAAATGGGTAAATGGGAAGATGGGTGGATGGATGGGTAGATGGATGGATGGATGGATGGATGGATGGATTGGGTGGGTGGGTAGATCGATGGATAAATGGGTGGATTGGTGAGTAGATGGATGAATGGATGGATGGGTGGGTGGATGGATGGATGGATGAATGTATGGATGGGTGGGTAGATGGGAAGATGGGTGAATGGATGGATTGATGGGTGGGTAGATAGATAGATGGATGAATGGATGGATGGGTGAGTGGGTGGGTGGGTTTGTGGTTAGATGAATGAATGTATGGATTGATGGATGGATGGATGGTTGGATGGATGGATGGATGGGTGGGTAAATAGATGAACGGATGGGTGGGTGGGTAGATGGAGTAAGGGATGGGTCGGTGGATGGATGGGTGGGTGGGTAGATGGATGAATGAATGGATGGAATGATGGGTGCGTAGATAGATGAATGGATGGATGGATGGATGGATGGATGGATGAATGGATGGATTGGTGTGCATATGGATGGATGATGGAATGATGGGTGGGTAGATGGATGAATGGATGGATGGGTGGGTGGGTAGATGGATGAATGGACGGATGGATGGATGGATGGAATGATGGGTGGGTAGATGGGTGGATGGATGGGTGGGTAGATGGATGGATGGATGGATGGATGGATGGATGGATGGATGATGGAATGATGGGTGGGTAGATGGATGAATGGATGGATGGATGGATGGAATGATGGGTGAGTAGATGGATGAATGGATGGATGGGTGGGTGGGTAGATGGATGAATGGATGGATGGATGGATGGAATGATGGGTGAGTAGATGGATGAATGGATGGATGGGTGGGTGGGTGGGTAGATGGATGAATGGATGGATGGATGGATGGATGGATAGGTAGATGGATGGATGGATGGATGGATGGATGGACCACAAGGCCTAAATCTTGTTCCATGTTTGCTTCTTTTTTTACAAACTCAGAATTTGGTCTGACTGTGAAATGTAATGATTCTCTGATCAAGTCTGACATGGATATAAATGGATATAATGGCTTTAGCTGAGTCAGTGTTAGAGATACTGACCTAAAATCTGATCAGAATCAGATTTATTGTCATGTAGGTGAGAGGCTCATCTACTAGGAATTTGTTTCGGTGGCAAGGTGCAAACATACATTCAAGTCATAGTCAGGCCAGGCAGTATTCATATGGAAGTACCGGTAACTGAAATTGATTTCCATCACAGATTAAAACTTGGACTGTAGTATTTCCATATTTTGTGTAAAATTATGGAATAGCCTTAAGGAGGAAATGAAATAATCAAAATCAATTATTATATTTAGAAAACACTCTAAAGAATGTTTATTAAGTAATTATGAAAAGGTTTACTAAACAAAGATCTTTGATTAAATCTAGAAAATTAGAAAAATGTGTTAAACAATTAAAATGTAGAGTTTGTTCATTTCTTTCTGTAAAAAGGGGCAGAAATTATAACATATTGTCTTCATTCTGTTCCTTTTTATTCAAAATTAAATGTATAGGTATACTCTGTTGTTTTAAAAAATTCTGTTTTATTTTAATCAAATTTGTATAGATATACTCTTTTTGTATTGCTTTATTATTATTTACTTTTATGAAATAAAAGTGTAAAAAAAATTTTTTTGATCAGACAAAAATGCCGTTAACTAAGGTGTCAACCTCTTGTATCTCACTAAAAAAACCACTGGACAAATGTAAATCTAAGTCTGAAACTGTAATTATTGGTGATTCATTTTTGGAGTCCCACTGAGTGATACTACAATAAGCTGGCCTTACGCCGTGCACATAAAGGTATTTTCATAGTCTGACCCACGTAATCCCAGACTTTTTCCACTTAAAACGTTCTTATGAGTTCTTTGGACAATATTTAGACATTTAATTGAAGAAGTTTAAAAGAATTTTCACAAATTTAATCAAAATATTCAAAACATTTGATTACAAACTCCTGCTTGCTTTCTGAGATTATTTGAGAGTTTTAGAGTATAGAAAATCCAAATGTGATCATACATAGAGTTTCTCTGTAAAGGTAATGTTACAGAAACATCTTAAATTACCACTAAACTGCATTAATTATGCAACGATGATCCCGTGCTCAACAGGGGCGGCGTTAGGCCCGGCTACTTGGGCTGAAGCCCCGGATGTTTCATGAAAAGCCCCGGATCTAAATCGCGGAAGTAACATGCAGTACCAAAGTCCAACAGAGAGGGAGCAGCTGGCAGTAGTTTGTATACAGCCTGCCTGAGCCTCCACCACTGAAGAAGAAGCCCTTCAGCAGCCGGCTTCTTCTAGCCTGGCAAGCCAGACTAAATAAATGTATTATCTCAGTTGTGGGGCGGGTTCTACCGTTGTTTTTCAAATGATCTCCGCATTCCACTGGACAATGAATGTGACATACTCTTGTTTCACTCTTGCATCATCCCACCCACCAGGCATATAGAGTGCCCTGATTGGCCCACAAAGCGGATAAAGCTCTGTGATTTGTTAACTAAGCAGATAGAGCACTATGATTGGCCCACCATTATGGACCAATCACAGCTCTTTATGTGTTTGAAACCCTTCTAGAGAGCTGTGATTGGCTAGCCAGAGTCCTGGTAGGAGCTGTGGAGGTTCCAATGGAGCATGCCTAGACCAAACTTTGCAAAGCAAGAATTTGGTCTAGTTCACTAGGCTAGGCTTCTTCTGCAGTCTCTGCCTGAAACGCATGAGTGAAGATGGACATAAGGACGTTTTTTTGACCAAAAGTACCGCGACAGAACCCCAGCTTTGATGAGACTGGTGCTGACTCAGGTTTGTGAGTCTTATTTGAAAATATTTGTTGTGCTGCTGCTTTGCCTAAAGTTAGCTTATCAGGTAAAGTGGTTGGAGAAAGAAAGGGAATATTTACTATCATCTCACTCTAAAC